CCAACTCTCACATCCATACATGACCACTGGAAAAACCATAGCTTTGACTAGATGGACCTTTGCTGCCAAAGTAATGTCTCTACTTTTTAATATGCTGTCTAGGTTGGTCATAGCTTTTCTTCCAAGGAGCAAGCATCTTTTAATTTNAGAAGTAGATATTTTTCCAGAACTCTCTTGCTTTTTCAAGAGATGCTTTTTCAACTTCCAACAGAGGTTGGCAATTTGATCTCTGGTTCCTCTGCCTTTTCTAAAGCCAGCAAAGGGTATTATAAAAACAAGTACATGACAAAATAAGGATACAAGAAAACATAATGTAGCTTCACTTGCAAATGGTCTTATTCTTTCTGTGTTACAGCTCTCCAGTATGATGACTTACATAGACTTAGTGAATATCTAAACATGCTTGCTGGTGAATCTTTTGTTGCTCATGCTACTAGGAGAAAGTAACAGCAAATGTATACTTATATCAAGATCAGTGCTGGAAAGAAATATAGCTATGTGCTGTTGTTTCAAGCCAGCAGACTTATGAATACCCAGCTGGCACCTGGAATTCGTTTTTCACCATGGCAACACACTCTCCACTCCCAGCATACTCTGCTATTGCTGCTAAGGTCCCCCACATCCTAGTGGAGAAAAAGTCATGGATTAGTTGATGGTGGTCAAAAGACTTCCTTCCTTCCTTCCTTTCTCCACTCACAAATGCTTCATGCATGCCAGCTTTGTGTTAAGCACCGGGAATACAAAGATGACGAAATCTTCTCTCCTTGTGCAGGCTTGAGTGCGATTTGTTTCAGGTTTGGGTATGCTGGGAATGTTTCCCAGGTGATAAGGGCTTTGGAGAATGAAAAGGAGTTTGGGAAGAAGAATATTCATTAGCAGGAATAATAGGTGTGAAAGTAATCTGTGAAAGTAATGAGGCAGAAAAGGTCGTGGTATCTTTGGGGCAAGAATGAGAAATTTGCATGAACAAAGTCTAAGATGTATACTGGCAAGAAGGGCCCAGATTATGAGGAACTTAAATTTGAAGTCAAGATGCTTGATTTTTGTCCTCTAAGCAGTGGGGAGCTACTAGAGCAAGGAAGTGAAATGATTGTACTCTCTCTTTAGCAAGGTCCTTGTAGTGGCTGTTTCTGTGGAGGTCTCTAGGATTGAGGAACTGGTTCAGTTAGGTCAGAGCAGTTGGGATCTTGCCACCCGAATTATGCTCTGTGAAGTATCAGCTTCCCTGTCAGCATCACCTGGGAGCACACTAGAGATGCAGGTTCTTGGGCCTCACCAGAGGTACTGAGTTATTTTAACAAGATTCCAAGGTAATATGTGTGTACAGTAAATTGGATGCTACGTTGATAGATAGCTCTTATGGCATTCATGTATGACCCCTGCGAGAGATGACCCAAACTTTTTCCTTCCCTTATACCACAGATTCACAGACCATTCTGTGATCTTTTTACCTCCATTTTTAAAAAATTGATAGAAATTTTAAGAGTATATTTCAAAGAACAAAATAATGCCATTTTCAACAACATGGGTGCAAGTAGAGATTATCATACTAAATGAAGTAAGTCAGAAAGAGAAAGAAAAATGCCATATGATATCACTTATAGGTAATAAGGAAGTCTAAAATGTGACACAAATGAACCAATATACAAAATAGAAACAGACTCACAGACAGAGACATCAGACTTGCGGTTGCCGAGGGAGAGCTGGGGAGGGAGAGGGATGGACTGGGAGTCTGGGGTTGGTAGATGCAAACTATTACCGTTTAGAATGGATAAACATCAAGGTCCTACTGTATAGCACAGGAACTATCTTTGCTATCCTGTGATAAACCATAATGGAAACAAATATAACAAAGAATGTATATATGTATATAACTGAGTCACTTTTCTGTATAGCAGAGATTGGTAAAATATTGTAGATGAAGTATATTTCAATTTTTAAAAAGTATATTTCAATAATCTGAGAAATTCAATTTTTTTAAGCTTTGGGTTTCTGAAACATTTTTGTCACAGGCTGTTAATGTATGAGTGGGTTCAGGGAGTCATGCAGAAAAGACTATTATATCTCTGCTATTTTAATTTCTTAAGCTTGGTGATGGAATGCAGGTATTCATATATTACAATTTGCCATTTTGGGTAAGTTGCAATATTTTATCATTCAGATTCATAAAATCTTGATTAAGCAGTAATGTTTAGTGAATCTACAAAGGGAAAAAGAGCAAGAAACTTCATCCAAAATGGTAACCCAAGACTCATGTTTGAGGTGGGAGAACATAAATGATATTAATAATATTCATGTAAATGGTAATAGTTACATCTGTCCAGTGCTTAATAGGTACTATTTTGGGGATACTCATTATGTGCTAGACATTAAGTACTTTATGTATAACTCATTGAGTGTCATAACCACTCTAAATGGTAGGACCTATGATTTGTTTTGATTTCTTTTCTCTTTTTTTCATTTATTTTTATTAATTGGAGGCTAATTACTTTACAATATTGTTGTGGTTTTTGCCATACATTGACATGAATCAGCCATAGATTTACATGTGTTCCCAATGATACCCCCTGCAACCTCCCTCCCCATCCCATCCCTATATACAGTAGAACCTTGTTATTTATCCATTCTGTATATGATAGTTTGCATTGTTTAATCCCAAACTCCCAGCCCATCCCTCCCCAAGCCCCCATTCCCCCTGGCAACTCATGTTTATTTTCTATGTCTTTATGTTTGTTTTGTAGATAAGTTCATTTATGTTATATTTTAGATTCCACATATAAGTGGTAATACTTTGGCCACCTGAAGTGAAGAACTGACTCATTGGAAAAGACCCTGATGCTAGGAAAGATTGAAGGCAGGAGGAGAAGGGGACGACAGAGGATGAGATGGTTGGATGGCATCACTGACTTGATGGACATAAGTTTGAGCAAGCTCCGGGAGTTGGTGATGGACAGGAAGCCTGGTGTGCTGCAGTCCATGGGGCTGCAAAGAGTTGGACACTACTAAGTGACTGAACTGAACTGGTAAGTGGTACCATATGATATTTGCCTTCCTCTGACTTACTTCACTTAGTACGATAATCTCTAGGTCCATCCATGTTGCTACAAATGGTATTATTTCATTCCTTTTTATGGCCTGGTAGTATCCTACAAATGGTATTATTTCATTCCTTTTTATGGCCTGGTAGTATCCCACTGTATATGTGTACCACATCTTCTTTACCCATTCATCTGTCAATGGGCATTTAGATTTTTTCCATGTCTTGGCTATTGTAAAAAGTGCTGCTATGAACATAGGGGTGCATGTATCTTTTTGAATTATAGTTTTGTTTGGATATATGCCCAGGAGTGAGGTTGTTGGATCATATGGCAACTCTATTTTTAGTTTATTGAGGAACCTCCAGACTGCTTTCCACAATAGCTACACCAATTTACATTCCCACTAGCAGTGTAGAAGGGTTTTTTTAATAGATGAAAAAAAAGAAGGTGTTAAGACATCAGATATTTGGCCCAAGGCCACAAACGAGAATTTGAACTCAGTTTCTGGAAATCCCAGGTCCAAGTTCTTAATCACTACACCACAATATAGTATGTAAAGGGTCATAATGAAATAAACGTACTGTTTTTCTTTTGTCAGGCCAGAGAAAAGCAAATGGAAAACATATTTTGGCTTTGGAGAGACAATTCTTATGGTATTTGTTAGCTGTCTTTTGTATATCCGATCTTGGGAAAATGGAGTTTGGAGCTAGAAGTGAATGATATTGAGAAACATCCCATTTGAATTTAAGATATTCAGAAAACCCACTAATTAAAAAAAATTAACTATATAAGACCACTCCTTGAAACAACTATAGTACACAAGTTCCGAGTTTCTGTGACTGAATTCTATGACTGAGCTTGTAACTGTCCTTCAAGACTCAGGTAAATGTCATTCTGCTGGGAATCATTTCTCTGTTTTCTTGAGATGGGGTGCCTCCTCATTTTGGTCACATCTCCTCTACTTGTGATGATAATAGTTGACCCTTATGACATCACAGTGCATTGAACATGTAAATACTTTACTTATCTTGTAACAGCTCTTTGGAAAATTATCACTATCCTCATAGTATGGAGGAAGAAACTGATATGTTTTGAGATTAAATAGTTGACCTGACGTTGTGCTCAGCCACTAAGTCGTGTCTGACTCTTTCGCGGCCCCATGGATAGCCCACCGGGATCCTTGGTCCACAGGATTTCCCAGGCAAGAGTACTGGAGTGGATTGCCATTTTCATCTCCAAGGAATCTTCCCGACCCAGGGATTGAACTTGTGTCTCTCGTGTTAGCAGGCAGATTCTCTACCATTGAGCTACCAGGGAAGCCCTATCTGACACCATGTAGTTAACAAATGGCAGAGCCAGAATTCAGATTTCAGAAGTCTGGTCTTGGAGCTGGATTCTTATCACCCTCGAGCTACCTGCCTCCCTTGCGCCACTGATTCAAGTGTCTTTTCCCCTCTTCTGATTTGTTCTAAATCATTCATTGAAAGTGTTGAGGGTATCCTATGAACTGGATGCTTCTGCAGTGCTGGGAACACACTGGAGAAGCAAAGGTGCTGCCTGTCTAGGCAAAGGATGGAGGGAACCATCTAGAAAGTGAGAACAGCATAAATAAAGGCATGGAAAGGAGAGAGAGCACAGCCCGTTACCAAACTCGGTCATGGAGGGAGAATAGGCTCCATTGAACAGAAGGTATATCTTGAGGCTGGAGAGCAAAGCATCACCAGACTGTAAAGCTTCCTCTAGGGCGGTGAGGAGTTTGGGTTGCAGTTTTACTGTGCAGGTAATGGGAGCCACTAAATTGTTTTAAGGAGATTTGGAAAATGTTGATTTTAATCTATGTTCATTTACATATTGGCACTTCATCAGCAACTGTAAAGAAACTAATCAGCCATTCACCTCATCTTCAGAAAGTCTCATTCAAGAAATTTTTAAAGAATAACAATGAAAGACATAGGGGAAAAAAAAACAATAAAACGTAACACTTTATTATTATTATTTTTTATCTTAGAAGGAATTCACCAAAGGCTTCATATTATGCTATGGTATCTTTAATTATAAAAATAAGCAAATAAAATAACTTGCATCTGTCATTACCATGATATGTTTCATAACCTTTATATGCACATGGAGCTTAAAAATGTAATTTAACAATAAATAATGACATATACCAGATATGCTCACTGTTTATTCCAGTACTCAGCCAAAAACCTAAATATCATTTAAATTATAAATACATAATGCAAATATAATGGCACAAAAATGTCTAAAGTGCAACCAAATCACAAGAGAAGAATCATGCAAACTGGTCTAGGTCAGCCCCCCAAATCACTCTGTGCAGCAAACACAAGACAAAGCTTTGGAAGTTGAAGGGGGAATTGGAGAGAGTAGGATGGAGGGAGAAGAGATGCAAAAAACTAGCAATATTGTGAGAACTGCTTCTTTCTGTATGTGTAGATATATGTATTATAGATACATATATAAATATTATTGTGGGGAGAAAAGGAGGGGGTACCACGGTTTGAAGAGGTCACAGCAAATCAAAGAGAATCCACTGGACTGAAGAGAGAATTTCGCTAGGAATACTCATAAACTATTTGTTGCATTGGGATCCTGGCTTAGTGCGAAATGGATAGAACACACAAAACTTGAATAGCTTTTCTGGTTTGGAGAAGCCAGCCTTGCCTGGGGGCAGGGTTTGGGGTGGGGAGGGATGGTGGAGGGAGGGTGAGGGAGAATCAACTTAGAATATGATCTACCTGATTTCCAAGAGGCTAAGGCAGTGTCATATGTTTGGGGACCTGGGGATGGGGCAGTTCTGGGTATAAAAATGCTCTTAACGATCTGATGTCAGCACGCCGAGAGGCTGTGTGGGGACGAAAGCAGCCACGCCGGTGCGGCTGCTAGGTCTGCTGCATCCACTCTTGGTCCTTGAGCAGCACGTTACTGGTTTTAAAGGCTTTGTGGTAAAGTTGTATTGCTTTTCGTTTTTCCGGAGATGTGCCCGCCCTCCTCCCACCGGGATCCCTACCACTCTGATTCGGACGGATAGGAAGTTCATCTGGGTGAGAGTCAAGCACCAGTGGTTTCTACCTAGGCGAGTCTGGAGTGGCCCTTACAGTCCTACCCCTCCTCCCTCTTCCTCTCTCGACATTGACCTTTGGTGGGCAGTGACGATCCTAAGGGACTGTTGGGTTCAAGGACAGTGACCCTGAGAAACTACTGTTGTTCATAGCTAGGCTAATCATTTGGCTTTGGTGGTCGCCATCTTGTAAACATCCTGGCAGAAAGGATCAGACCGCCAGCTCTGTTTTTCCCTCTTTTTTTTTTTTTCTTTTTTTGGTTTTTTCTTTTTTTTTTTTTGCAATCCTATACAGAGATGGCCCGGCTGCCAGGACTACTTCGGCAAGGCAGCGTGCTACAGGACAAAAATGTAATAAGAGGAGTTTATTAAGGCTGGACAACCCAGGGTTACTTATACCCCCTCAGCCCCAAGTCCCCCGAAACTAAAGACCCAAAGGCTGATTGACTCATTCCTGATTGAGTTCATGGAAAGCCTCCTACCCCATCATCTTGTTGCCAGAGAACCAGGCACTGGCGAAAGGCGACAAGTCAAGAACCGCCACTTCCCAAGGCATAGCCGGCCTTATCACACTCTTAAGTGGCCCAAGCTCAAAGGGTTGCTCTTTCTGGCTCCTGTAATTCTCAGTTGGATATGACAGAGCTGTTTCAGGATAGGTCTAAGTCAAGAGTAGCCTCTGGGTTGAGGTGGGCTGGGAGATTAACATCTTGCCTGGGGTCCTTCAGATAAACCTGTTGCTGTTGTTGTTGTTTTCTATCTCATACAGGCCCATCTTAAGTTTTGATGTTGAGTAAAACTACTTCTACCCCCTTAGTTATAAAAAAGGCCACAAGGAGCATTTATGTGGATATCTGGAAGTGAGATAGTTATTCCATTCCCAGGAAAAGAAAAATAAAGCTAAGTTACAAAACTAAATCTATATGCAATAAAGTTATTATATACTGCTTTGTTTAAGCAGAGTCCTCTGGAATTTATGTACAGTACATTAGTTTTCACCTATTTATATTCCACAGTTAGACCTTAAGATTCTCTGGTTTTAAGACAATTGTTAAAGATACTTTTAAAGCTCTGAGCAGTTACAGTACTTAGAGATGTTAGCTTTTTGTTTTTCATTTGATGCAAGAAGATGCAGGCTCCAAGTCTGGTTGGAGAGCCAGGCTTGAGCAATTTGGTAAATGTGTTGGGAAGGAAATTAGACACTGAGGATCAAGACCATAAGACACTAGCTCATGAGAGATCAAGAACTCAAATATGACATTCATATTCGTCTATGGCCAGCACAGATTCATAACACGAATTCCACTGAGCATCTTTATGAGCGTTTGTTTAAGACATGCATTTAAATTAAGTTGCTTCTTATCAGCTAACTCTACTGGGGCAACCATTCTAAAGGGCTCCGCATCTTCAAATGACAATGTCTGGGGAGTTATGTGAATGTTTTGTGTTTGAGAGTTGTTGGAGGGGAGCTGGGAAAAGACCGAGTGGAGGGAAGTGATAAAAGAGGCCACTTTCTCCCGAGGAGAGGCATAGAGATCACATATGTTCTATTGGTGGGAATGCCGCCATTGCAAAATGTTGAGAAATTGATTACAGAAGCCTAGTTTCATGCAATTTTTCTTTAAGGGGAGGGGGATAGAAAATAGGAACTACTTAAAAAAAAATCAAACCAGGCACAGTACACTCAAAGTTGGTGCATGAACACCCTTAAAAGGATCGTAGTTTGCTGAGGCTGTGATTGCCTCTCCCCAGCTAGGCACTCTCCTGGGAGGTGCGTTTGATGTGGGAGGGAGAGGCCACCTCACCTCGGAGGTTCCTGAGGAGGACTTTCAGCTTCTGTGGCTCATTGGCACGCCTCCTGTTGAAGTCAGCTCGCTGGTGTGTATGGGCACAGTGATCCGTCTGCAGGATGTGAAAGAGGCTGGCCATGTTGGGGCCGATTTTCTCCATCAGGCTGTCTCTAATGGTTCTGACTGTGTCTTCGTCACAGTCCAGTAGGCTTCGGACAAGTCTGTTATAGTATCTGCGTTGGGAAAGAGGGATCAGTCGGTGAGAGCAAGGCAAGACCCTGGCTTTCATCTGGGCTGCAGCCAACACCTAGTCCAAATGGCCAGACCAAACACCCATGGGTAGTAGTGCCTCAGCTGAAGGTGGCTTTAACCTTCATGCAGCATCTTAGTGTGAGTGTATGCGCTGCCTTGAGTTACCACCCAGAGTAAAGATGGTTCTGTGTTCATGTTTACTGCTTAGGAGATTGAGATTGTACTTTGAATAGTGGGGTCATGGCGAGGCCTAAAATCTTTAGAAACAGAATCATGGAGCTAGATGGGGATTGTGAAGGTAATTTAACGATTATTTCATATTCTTTTTATGGAGAAGAAATTAAGGTAGGAGAGCTGAAGTGACTGTCCGAGGTCATCCAATGGGCTGCTGCTGCTAAGTCGCGTCAGTCGTGTCCGACTCCGAGCGACCCCATGGACAGCAGCCCAGCAGGCTCCTCTGTCCACAGGATTCTCCAGGCAAGAGTACTGGAGTGGGTTGCCATTTCCTTCTCCAATGCATGCAGTGTGTGATTAGTTGCTCAGTCATGTCCGACTCTTTGTGACCCCACAGACTGTAGACTGCCAGGCTTCTCTGTCCACGGAATTTTCTAGGCAAGAATACTGGAGTGGGTTGCCATTTCCTCCTCCAGAGGATCTTCCTGACCCTGGGATCAAACCTGCATCTCCTGCATTGGCAGGCGGATTCTTTACCACTGAACTACCAGAGAAGCCCGCTAGTGGACTAGACATAGAAGCAAAGACTTGATAAAATGGATGATGTAACCTAGCACTCACACTTATATTTTAATAGTTACTGCACACATATGAAATCATTTACAGTTATTTTGGTGACTCTGCAATTTTTCTTTTTCTTGATGGTATGTGTGCATATTCTGACTAAATTTCTAATTTTTTTTTCTGGTCACATTGAGTGGCATGTGGGATTTTTAGTTCCCCAATCAGGAATGGAACCCGTGTTCCTCAGTGGAAACATGGGGCCCTAACCACTGGATTGCCAAGGAAATCCCTAAATTTCAATGTTTAAAGGAGATCCCTGTCTGCAGTTATCTCATGCATTTTTCTACTCAATCTGAGTTCCCTACCCCTTGGCTAGCCTCTCTGAAGGTTATTGTATCAATCATTTTCAGTCTTCCTGCAAAGGGATAGTGCAGTGAGAGGACCAAATGCCAGGCCATGAGGATATTTACATAGACAGGCTGGAGGTCCTTAATGGTTCTTGCTTCTATCATTTCAAGAAGTTTATCACACCACTCAAGCTTTTGATGGTCTCTTCTTTTTTGGAGGGATGTTTTTATAGATATTTGGTGATGATCACTTGTTTACTGATGGTTTTGTTTTCCTGACTAGACAGTAAGCTTTACTGAAGGCAAGATATGTGTCCTTATTCTCTGTGTTCCTCATGTGCCTAAGTCCTAGGGCTATATTGCCTGCTCACTGTCTATTTGTTGACTTATTTTGTGGCCATTGAGGAAATGAAGCTTTCAAAATAGAGTTCTTTCTAAAGTCATGGTTCCCTAAAGAAAAAATTATCTGTATGTCTTCTGGTAAGTTTCATAAAAAAATTGGTGTTTGTTATAAATTTCCTTCATCTTTGATGTGAATTCTTTAAGCATCTGAAATACTGTGGCTAATTATTGTGGCTCAGAAAGGATTAAACTGACATATATATATATGTATTTTTTTTTTCATGAAGAATATGGTTTGATCATTTCAGTCATAGGACATTTTTCCATGAATAAGATGGCAGTGCAGAAGATGTGAAAACAATTGTGTAAATGATACACAACAAATATTCTTAGGTAATATTCCCTTTGATGCAGGTTTTTGAAAAATCAGTACCTGTGAGTTAGACAGCATGGAAACTACCAAAAAAGGAGTCTTTTATGACATCAAGAACACACTTGAACCTTGTCATTGACCATTTGTCAGTAAACTGCCTAATATTTACTGCATACAAATTACTGGTCCTATTCTTTGGGAAGACAGTTTTGGTATTCTCCAATTTGAATTGGGTTGCATCTGCTCTATTCTGAGGAGGCAGTTGTCAAACCCATCAGTTCTGTGCTCACTAATTAAGGACTCTCCTGATGATGGTGCGTGCTAAGTTGCTTCAGTTGTGTCAACTCTTTGCCACCCCATAGACTGTAGCCCACCAGGCTCCTCTGTCCATGGGATTTCCCAGTCAAGAATACTGGAGTGGGTTGCTGTTTCTTTTTCCAGGGCATCTTCCCAACCCAGATATCAAACCCATATCTCTTGCATCTCCTGCATTTGCATGCGGGTTCTTTCCCACCAGCACCACCTGGGAAGCCCCCTGATGATGGTGGTCTGCAGTGTCTACGTAGAGAGACCCTTTCCTCAGAGGAGCCCGAAGACTGCTGGGCCACAGGATCTTCCGTGGAAAGAAACCTGTTCATTTTTAACTCGCCTCACAGAACACAGGATCAAACATCTTTCCAGAATAAGTTAACCCTCCCCCCACCTCCAGAGGTCCTTTCAAGGATGTACAGTAAATAGAGTGGATTGTGGGCATTAAAGCAAAGCCATCACCCTTCTGTGAGGGAGCAGAACGAAGCTGGGGACACAGGGAGTAGTGTCTGGGTCTTGGATACAGTCCTGGCTCCACCTCTCCCATGAAGGAGGATTACATCCAGCTGTTGTTAAAATTGGGACTCCCTGGCACAGAGACACATTTTCCAGCCCTTCGGAATTATAAAGCACATGAGTCAAAGCAGTTCTCGCTTGGATGGGGAAATGGGGAGAGAAGCGGTTTTGGAAAAAGTGAGAATAGACCACTTTGTATGAACAAAGTAGACATCTACACACCCACATAGATCCCCAGGCATCTCCTGGGCTCTGATGGGATGTGGTTTCCTGGATCTTTTTGTCTATTTCACAGGATGTTTTAGATCCTAGAGAAGAAGGTTTTTGATCCCTCACCTTCCTGCCCACCCTTCCCTCCCTCACCCCTGCTCCCTGCAACATGGACTTTATAACTTAGAAGTTAATCTTTCCATTTCTATAAAGAACTGTTCACACTTAATGGTCTTCCAAATGGGCTGGAAAAGATGATCTTCCCTTAGGTCAACACTGAAGACTCCAGTCTGGATGAAAAGTCTAACACCAGTAAAGGAACTAAGCTTCTACAACTAGCCTCACCTCTTTAAGGCCATATGTGTTCCTCTGGCCCCATTTTGTCCAAACACCTGCTCTCCAACTCTGAAAACACCTACTTTTACTGTTGCTTTCTCTGCTAACCCCAATAGGCCACCTGTTCTTGGTGCTTCTTGAGGATGACCCTGGCCAGCCTGACTACTCTTAGCAACTCCCCCCAAGTCTACCCTTAGCCTCTCCATGGAGCTTGTTAACTAAACAAGGGTAGGCTAAGAGAGCTCCTTGGAATACAAAATGTCCATGGCTCCAGCAGCAGCTCCTGCAAGTGTGGAAAACCTATGAGGCTGCCTTGATGTCGACACCATTTGTCTGAGCAAGTAAAAGGTTAACCCTACACCTCTTCATTAAGGGCTGGAATAAGGCATTGACCTCTGGGGTTGTGTGGGTGATTGAGACAGATCTTTCCTGTCTCTAAGCCACCTCAGTGAGGTTACTGAAGAAATCGTGTCTCTAGAAAAAGTTGATTTAGCAATTGTCACATATTTCTGGATCACCATCTTGTATTGAATCTTGATGTTACTATAGCTATTGGTGAGAAGTGCCTTCTCTTTGAGGAGAGAATGTACACAACTTTAATTGTTGATCACCAGGGGCTACATTTATTGTATTCTGTTTGGTATTCCATTTTCAGATTGTGGCTATCTCCTACAGGTTTTACCTGCTGCCAGTTTTGAAATGGAAATCAAAGAGCTTGGCTCAGGGCCATGTGAATTTTAGGCTCAACACTGTCATTCACTAGCTGTGTGACCTTCAGCAAGTCACCCCCTCTCTCGGTCTCTGTTCTTTAATTAGTAAAACAAGACAATTAGCCTAGATAACCTTTATGGTCATTTCTAGCTATGACATTTTATGTTTCTGGGGTTTGATATATACGTTCCTTCTCAATTTAACAATAGCAACCAAAAAGTAGTGCAGATCTGGTTAAGGACCACCCTTTGCATGAAGAGTTAAAACAATGTAAGAAGAGTCCTTTCGTCATCTTTATGGGGTGAGGCAGTGGGAGGTACTCCCAAGATTTGGTGGGTTAAATTCTGATCACCCAGCCTGATGGGTGTGTGCTCAGTAGTTCAGTTGTATCCAATGTTTTGTGATGCCATGGACTGTAGCCTGCCAGGCTTCTCTGTCCATGGGATTCTCCAGGCAAGAATACCAGAGTGAGCTTCCATTTCCTCCTCCAGGGGATCTCCCTCATTCAGGGATTGAACCTGCATCTCCTGTGGCTCCTGCATTGTCTGGGGGATTCTTTACCGCTAAGCTACCTGGGAAGACCTCCCCCTCTCCCCCCAACCTGGAAGTACCCTTTAAACCATGTTTCTTGCTTCCCCTTTGAAAATTCCATCGGTGACTTAATTTTCTCGGTAAAGAATAAGATCAGATATTCTCCATAGCTACTGTTTCAGCCATGCTTACCCAAATACACACATACTGCCTAGGAACATTCTGTGTGAAGGTTTATAAATAGTCCTTTGTTTCCCTTGATCAATATTATTCTTCTGTTTCCTGTTCCCTATCCATGCCCTAGAGAGTTGGAAGCTTTGTCAGTTTTCCCACTCTGGATCTGGAATGGTCCAATTTCTTCTCAGCCTCACAGCTGCCCAACCTGCCTGATCAATTTTGCCTGCTTCCCTCCTTGTTGAAAATATAGTTTGCAAATCCAGGCAGGGGGCCACTCCAGCTATTCTTCCTCTTCTAAGTGCATTTCTCTCATGGAAAAGTTCCCTGTTCTGGCTTCTGGTCCAGTCACAGGCTTTTGGATTCTCCCAGGCCCAAATCTCATGCTAGATAAGTCACAGGAAGGTGGAATGAACCTGTAACTACTTCCTTTCACAATTCTGTGCCAGTTGGCACAACTTACTATGTATCTATGGTGGGACAGAGGCTGGGAAAGCAGGATGTGTCAGGAGAGTGAGAAGCTTAAATAGAGCAAACCAAAGCCCAGCATGGAACCGGAAATCTCTAGTTCTGAGCAGGAATAATACTAGCCAGTTGAAGTCAAATAATTGGGGAAAGGTACAGTTGCATGGAAGATTCTAGTCTTCAAGAGACTGACTGTTTTCCCTAATAAAGGTGATTCTTCTAAGATGAGAGAGGCTGATAACCAGATTCTGTGTGACCACTTTCTAAAGGTGAAAACAAGACATCTGTTGAAAAGAATAATGGCCTGCTTAAACATTCCTATTACTGGACTTCCCTGGCAGTCCTGTGGTTAAGACTCAGCTTCCACTGCAGGGGTCATGGGTTCCATCCCTGGTCAGGGAACTAAAATCCCACATACTGCACAGTGCGGCCAAAAAAAAAAAAAAAGAAAGAAAGAAAAGAAACTAAATTAAAAAACTCCTATATCCAGTCTCTTCTTAGATTCTTAGTATCACCAGTCCTGTATTCTCCTTTCTCTAAGAGCTCTGCCTTCATAATGGAAGATGCTACCTCAGTTGAATCAGAGACATGAGTAGTGTCTTAAAATTGGCCACATGTCATATTATAGATTATGAACTGTCATTGGATCCTTAAAGATTAAAACTGATAATGGCTGTACTAACATATTCCTGCCCCACAATTACCACCCAAACACGTACTTGGTCTTTGATGATGTTATTGAGTCACTAAGTTGTGCCTGACTTTTTATGACCCCATGGACTGTAGCATGCCAGACTTCTGTGTCCTCCTCTATCTCCCGGAGTTTGCTCAAGTTCATGTCCATTAGCCCCTTGGTCCCTAGCCCCTGTCAAACCTAGCAATCTTTACTTCTTTTCCTTAGGGTGAAGAATCTCCAAGTATCAGACTGTTTGTTTTTTCCCTCCTCTCCAGATGTAATAAGGATCTTCCTAGGAGAATATTATGACTAAGGTCAATATAAAGAGACAGGCCACTAAAGACAAATGATGAATTTAGCTTTCCTGTTCTCAGGACATCAGTTAGGACCATGACAGGGTCACTTCCAAAGACTGAACACATGACTTTTGTAAATTGACATGAGGTTCTGAAGTACAGTGATCTGTAGTCAGGGTGAATCAGAAATTTACAAAGTTTAATGTCAGAGGCCTCAGCCTTTCCCTAAGGAGGAGCTACTTTTCCATTTTCCAGCATGTATGCATGCTAAATCACTTCAGTCATGTCTGACTCTGTGCGACCCTGTGGACAGTAGCCCACCAGGCTCCTCTGTCCATGGGATTCTCTGGGCAAGAATACTGCAGTAGATTGTTGTGCCCTCCTCCAGGGGATCTTCCAGACCCAGGGATCAAACCTGTGTCTCTTATATCTCCTGCACTGGCAGGCAGATTCTTTACCACTAGGGCTACCATGTATAAATGACTAACTTAATGGTAAGCCACAGAAGGACTAGGTTATTAAGGACTCTCTGAAGAAGGGAGGGAGCCTCTGGCTAGGAAATCAATCTGGTAAGGCTGTGTTAGCTGTCTTGTGGTCAGAGTAACCCATAAGGCCAGATCTTTGTGAATATGTGAAGATTTGACTGGAGAATAAGAGAATAATAGCCCTTCAGGACTAGGAGTCAAGTTTTAGGCTGTGTGGCATCACTGGAGGCTGCACTTGGCTGGTCATACTTCCATGCTGGCCCCATTAGCTCCTCTCTGAACTTGATCATAGATGATGAAGCCCAGGTCTTGCCAGAAAGCTCCCTAGGCCATGGAATGAGCATGTCTGCCATCTCATGTCTTAGGTGTTCACTCCTGGCTGGTAAAGACAGTGCTTCAAGGATGCAGAAGGGCATGATGCTCAGATATTACTAGCTCAGTGGCTTGGGCTCACTCTCAAATACTAAGATGAATGTGGGATCCAGGGAATCAGCAGAAAACCATTCCAGGAAACCCTGGACTAGAGGAATGGGATGACAGACCTGGAAGGGAACATGGGAATCATCTAGTCCAGCCATTTCACTTTTCCCAAAGGAAATCTGAGTCCCACCGAAGCGAGATGGCTTGCTCTGGGATACACAGTGAAATATCTGAGTGGGCTTCGGACTGACTCAAAATACATGCAGTTTTAGAAGTCTGTTGATGACATTTGACCAAGGTTTTCATGATGACCCATTGTACTTTGCCTAGTCATGATTTCAGCCCAACTGGATGTCTCAAAAGCTTGTTTCCATAAACTTCATAATTCCCTTCAGACTTGTGGAAGGAAAGGGACAATGTGCCCAGGGATGCTGTGGATGAACTTTTCTATTAGATGCATGGAAAGATTTTCCTACAACAGTGAAAAAAATCCAGGCTGCCTAAGCTGTCATAGACAATCACAAACATATTTTTTCCTGCAAGAGCTGGGAGGACTGCAAGCTAAAATAAGAGCACGACTCTGGCAATTTAACCCCTTCTGTATCTGGCTCTGCCAGTCAACCACTCCCTCCTCCCCCACAGTTGCCAAAAAGCAGATTCATCTGTACCTGTTGGAGTAATGATTAGGGAGCTGGACGACTTCCGTGATGGCTTCCGGGTTCCGCTTGGCGACACTGCACACGTTCAGCTTGCTGTAGCACTCCTCCTGGACCTCAGCAATCATCCTCTGGAAAGTGGAGCACCTCCGAATGGCCAGGAAGACCTTGGAGGTGACCCCATTGGCGATGCATTTTAAGCTCTCTTTGACAAATGCTTTTCCCTGCCGAGGAAGGAGGGGGGCAAGAGGACAAACTTTAGCTTGAGCTGAACAGAGAGGAGAGTGCCTACAGTATGTGGAACTTAAGGGGGCATGCCTTGGCACTGTCTCTAACCCTGACCTTAAGCCTTAACCCCTAACTCTAACCCCAGACTAGATGGGAGATGTTCCTCTGCATGCATGCATGCTCAGTCACTTCAATCGTGTCCAACTCTTATGACCCCATGGACTGTAGTCCGCCAGGCTTTTCCATCCATGAGATTCTCCAGGTAAGAATACTGGAGTGGGTTGCCATGCCCTCCTCCAGGGGCTCTTCCTGACCCAGGGATTGAACCCACATCTTCTGCATCGCAGGCAGATTCGTTACCACTGAGCCACCAGGGAAGCCAGCCCTCTAAATGTCCTTGTAATAAGAGAATTGTAGGCTGCAGTCAAGATTTAAAAAAAAAAAAAATCCCTATTCCCTTAGACTACCTTGAGAATTGAGCTCCATAGAAATGAAATGAGATGACAAAAAGAGATGAACCATAACCAACCACTCTGCAGCCTAAAAATAGCCAGAGTATGGCTTTGTATTCTCTGGATTGAGATTTGATAACTCAAATCACAAGCTAGTAAACAAACAAATAAACAAGCTAGTATGCTGGCTTATACAGTGAGAAGAACTTCTTTGTTAGAAGAACATTTTAATTTCCTCTTGAAGAAACAAAGATGTTTTGCTTATCACCCCTCCCTTATAAGACAGCCTCTGTCAGCATGTTACAATTGTGCATTAGAGTGGGTGGAGAGTGGCTTATATAGAACCTATTTCTTGGCCCACTGTGTGTGTGTGTGTGTACACACGTTGAAAGTGAAAGTGAAGTCGCTCAGTTGTGTCCGACTCTCCGCGACCCCATGGACTGCAGCCTACCAGGCTCCTCCATCCATGGGATTTTCCAGGCAAGAGTACTGGAGTGGGTTGCCATTTCCTTCTCCAAGTAGGGAGGCTGAGAAGCAGAGCTGGTTCCCTACAAGACTGGGTTGGAAGAACAATAGTCTCATACACTGTTAACGACACATAGCCAGTTGGAGCAGGGGTCAAGGTCTTATTACCTGAGTGTCAAATTTAGCAGCGCTGTACAAGAAGGATTTACAGATGTCGTACATCCCATCTGTGTCACAGGTGGAGTTTTCCAGGCATGCAAAAGCTCCACAGCCAACCTGCAGCGCGCTGTTGAGGCAGCGAATCACTTCAGCTGAAAGAGACAAATCCATCCAATCTGGGTCAAACAGTGAGGATGCTCTGGATGGATCACGGCGATGTGGTGGCAAGATTCAAAGACAAAGGGATGAGAAGAACTTCTCCTGGGAGTCTGTGATGGGGCCAGCAGAAAGACCCATTCAGAGTGGTGAAGGGTGAAGAAGAGAGGGGACAAGCAGACTCCTTTTGCTTATAAGAACCAGAGCACATGGAGGATTGGGAATGAGTTTTCCCTTGGAGGCATACTCTTGGTCTCACCATCCCATACCGTTTTGGTGGTTGGAGAAGTAAGGATGGAAGATGAGACATGCACAGTTCTTGAAGGAACTCTGCAGAATCCAAGGTCATGTCCTAAAGGCTGAAAGCCTGGGAAGGCAGTGGTGGGTGGGCAAGTTTAGGAGGAGGAAGGGCCAGGGAATCCATCTGGCTCCCCAAAAATACACTCCAGGGTAATAAGGATGGACATGCGTGTGTGTGCTTGTGCGTGCTCAATCGGGTCTGACTCTGTGACTCTCTGATTGTAGCCTGTCAGGCTGCTCTGTCCATGGGATTTTCCAGGCAAGAATACTGGAGTGGGTTGTCATTTCCTCCTCCAGGGTATCTTCCCGAACCAGGGATTGAACCTGTGTTTCCTGCATTGGCAGGCAGATTCTTTACCATCTGTGCCACCAGGGAAACCCCAATAAGCATGGACATTTGGTCTCAATGGCAGAGAAGAACTTGCTAGGAGTCCACTTGGAGACCCTTCTGATTTAGGGCTTTTAACTTACCTTCCTATTGGCAGAAAGAAATCTGATCCTTTCATGTTTCATCCCAACCCCCCACCACAGGACAGTGCTTAGAGGTATGTATAATCTCTCTCATATTAAAAGCCATTTTTTTTTTTTTTAAAGAGAGAAACACAGGTGTAGAATAACAAGGCCAAGGCACCCCCTTGTGCAAGACGGAAAGAAAACCGCAAAGAACTTGCATGAGGCTTTCGACATTGTGGATAAGATCTCCCATAAAAGTAATTTCTCTCCTACAGAAGGGGGGGTGTTCTGGCAGGCAGCTCAGCGAGAAATGATCTGCAGCCTTCATACCATAGGAGTCTCCTCTGAGATCAAAAGCACGATTCGGTTAAGCGGCCCCTCCCCCCCCCCCGCCCCCCGCAGCCTCTGGGATGTTACAAGTCATTTCCCTAATTATATATTTCCACGGGTTCAAATTATAACTTTGCTTAAAGCAGTTTTAATATGCATTAGGGTTGCCATTGTTTTAGGCAAGCTGGAATTGTGAATCACGGCATCTCTATAGCAACTAAGTACAAAAGGAAGTGAACCGAAGCCCTCCTCTCGGCAGGGACCTGTGCTCTTTCGAGGGGAGCGGCGTCCAGCACCTGCGAGCCCATCTTTGCTGACAGTCGGGGCGGGGCGGGGCGGGGGGGGTGGTGCAGAGAGAGAGAGAGCGAGCCGGCATGGAAGGCAAGCAAGATGGACAAGCCAAGTCCAAAGGCAGAGGTGTCAGTGCCGGCTTCCTGAGGACGCTCTTCCTTTAGAGNCCAAGAGGGTACGTGCCAGATTTCAGGCAATCAGGCTAGGCTTATGCAATGAAATACCCTCAGCAGAGCGCCCAGCTTCTTCGTTAGTTGCATGCAATTTATTAAACAAAGGAGCTCCACTTCCTAAGGCTATTGGATTACACTGGCAGTTTATTGCCTTCAGGCATGCAGCACGTTTATTATCAAGATCAGCCGTCACAGACACAGTTGCAAAAGCCAGAGGCAAATGAGGACAGCTCCTTGCGGGAGAAACCGGTCCTGGGTTTGCCGCTTACCTGAGTTCTGAGCTGCCACCCGTGATTTCCTGGGGCTCACAGAATCATTCTGCTCCGCCTCATGGGTTGCAGAAGCAGTGATCACCAGCACCAGAAGCACTGCTGAGTTTTGGAGCATTCTCTGAGAAGTTTCCGCTAAGTTGTTGGGTTTTTTTTTTTTTTCCTCCCCCCCTTTCCTCTTTCCCTCTCCCGGTTTGAGTGAAGATGTGGATCTGGATACACTGAGAGCCTAGGTGAGGATTTGATGAGGATTTTTCTGTTGCTGCTGCTGCTGCTGTGGCTTCCGCTGGCGCTTTTTGCTGCTGCTGCTGCTGCAGTCGCTGCTTCTTGCACCTCTGGCTTTTGCAAACTGGGGGCCCAAGAGCTGCACCCAGGGATTTTATAGCCGTTCTTATCGGTCCTCAGGATCAGGGACCAATCAGGTCCCTCAGCTGGTCTGGCCAGCCAATCGGAGGGCGTGCTCATTGGGCTAGAGCTGTTTGACTTCTTAGAAATATTTTCCAGCAAATTAAAAGTACCTGCTGCCAATGTTTTATACGTGTGTGTGACTGTGTGTGCAGAGATGTGTGAAAAAGCTATTTTCACAGAATTCAGGGATGATTTTGTGTTGGTCGAATTAAAGGGAAATCGTATGATGAACTCAACCAGGTGCTTTGGGAAATCTAGCCATCTTTTCAAACTGTGTGCTATGGGGAGGGAGGCAGTCCAGGCAGGATGGGTAGTGGGGTCTCCTTGGATTCGAATTTAAGCTCATTTAGCAGTTTTACTATGATTTTCACAGCACGGTCTCCTTGTTGTAAGTTACATAGATAGTACCTCCCCATCTCAGTGTAAGTGTGTTCACAGGTCTGTGAGGCATTTTGGCTGTATGTGGACATCCATCCTGAGTTTTCACATATATGAGCTCTTGGAAGGGGACATGTTGGAGGATAGGGCCCTGACGGACTGGAACATGAGAGCTCTGAGCTGTCGCTTCAGTTCCTCTATTGATTAGCTCTATGACCCTGGTCAAATCCTTTTACCCTGTTCTACCTATTTTCCAACTTGTCAAATGCCAAAGTTGGAGTCTAGCACTCCTAATATCTCTAAAACAATGTCCAGTAACACAAGTTAACCTTGACTCCGTCTTTTTTGTTACCAGCAAGACTGTAAACTCCAAGAGTGTTAGTTACCACAGCTAGACACATGAACACCTACATATATTCTGCTCAATAGGGAGACATCATGAATGCCTGGAAATTAATAAACTCTGTATTCAAGCGCAGCAACTTCATAGTCACTTTGAAACAATAGGCTGGCCAAAGCAAGAATAAACCTGCTGGGTAAACCACTTCATTTCTTGTTGGGTGGGGAGAGAGGGATTAGGGGGTGGGCAAAACAGGGAAGAAGGGGTAAGAGACCAGCATGTGTTGGAGAAAGGACTAATAAGCTTGATATGTAATAAGAAAATCATTGTGGCATCACAACCATGCCTAGGCTAGAAGTTCATATTTTCTGAAAAGTGGGCTGTAGGCAATACTGAGGCTTGTCCCTAACTTGTGAAGGAGGCTAATGATCTTGGAGAGGAGAGGACTTAGGATTGAAGGTGGTCATTAAGGCCTGGGTTGGAGTGAAAGGATTAAGCAAGACAACCTTTAAACATTTGGAGGAGGTAAATGAGAAAGGGCCATCAGGGATTCGTCCAGACGGGCAAGATGATCTTGTAAGGAAACAGAGCCAAAGACTTCCATGTAAATCGTCAAATCTTCAAACAAAGGTTGAAGAAAGAGCTCCAACTCTTAACCACAAACCAAGAATCAACTCTACATGAGTGTGGGGAGTGATTATAGGTTCCCTGGCAAGAAAAAAAAAAAAGTTTCTTTGGAAAGAGTGACGTTTGCTAGAAGAAGGAATAGAGGAAATTAAGGGTAGAGGGAATATCTAGAGAAAAGAAAGGGAATTTTCAAATTTCTTTTAACATTTTCAATTTAAATTAACTGACAGTGTTGGTATTTCTCAAGTACCTTCTAGGCTGGGAGCTTAGGGGATGTGTGGGGGAAGGTGAAGGAGAAGAGAGAAGGAGGAAAAGTAATGATTGTCGTCACTGAGAAGCTTATAGTCATTTGGGAAGAAGGTCAACCCCAGTCATATTTCCTAAAGGTTCAGGGTCTCAGGAACTTGCATGGTAAGAGAAGGCCATGGTCAACATTGGCTACAAATGTGGGCAGAGCTTCATGGAAGGGTCAGTGCAGGAAAGATGTGAATTGCTGTTGTTGCTTTTGAAGAATTTATGAAAAAGCCATGATATTTCATTTTTTAAAAATGTTTTTGTTCCAGAAATCTCAGAGATTGTTTTTATTGCTTCAGGTAGGAGTGATAGGTGTCTGGCATGACGGCACTGCAACACAGTATTAATAGTTGTGTGTTTTCTTCTCAAAGGAGAACAAGAAGACCGATGCACATTCTTCCTGAGGATTTGGATTTCTCTTCCTCTGCATTTTCTACCTCCTTAGCCATTTTTTTCTTGTTAAAGGAAGTGCTGTTTCTCTTGTTAGACTTTCCTTGTTTTAACCTGCTGGCTTTGAAGGATGATGACTTACTTTTCACCATCGACATTCTTTTCCCCACACCCTGGTGTTCCCACCAGAACAGATTGTTCCACAATTGTCAGGGTGTGTTTTGCATCTTCTGATGTTGGTTCATTGTTTCTCTGGATTTCATGAACTTACTGCCATCTGTCTGGAGGTTCCTAGCTGGGTGTGAAGTGTCTCACAGTGACAGATAACGTGAAGCAATCCAATGGTGGGCAGCCATATTGGTTTGCATATAACTAGTGCATCTGTGCATTTGAGAACATCAAAGGCAGAAGCTGAAGCCTACCTAGCAATCCCAAATGTAAATAGCATCTCTTCCCTAGAGTTCAAGGACATCTGAATGTCCCCAATCCTTGTGCTCGCATTGGAATGATACAGAAATGTTAGAAGAGTGTGGGGAGCTCTGGAGGTGATGTCCAGTTTCTTTGTAACTTCTCCTGGGATGGGGGAGTAAGGAAGAATATAACGGAGCTTGAATATCAGATTTCAGACTTTGAATTTTATCATGCAAACAACAAGGAGTCAAGGGTTCTTGAGTAAAGGAATTGTTAAATGTGTTGAAATTAGCATTGGGAAAGGTCATTTGATTGTACTTAGGATGGCTTGGAGGAAGAAAAGATTGGAGGTTGTAAAGCTAGTTAGTAAGATCAATTTGTGTTGATGAGGTCCTGGACAACCAGGATAGTAGAAGGAAAGAAAGGGGGAAAATTATGAGAGATGTTTGAAATAATATGGAAATTATCAATTAATCTAAGAACTTCATTGGAAAAAAAATCTTTCTCTGAGTTTAATGATAGTACATCAGGGTTTTTCCCTTCCCCATTCATTGGTTATGAATTTTAGTTGACAAGACTATCTAGCATCTCCATTAGACCGGCACCTTCTGGGGTTATGTTAAGGCAGTAACGTAGCTAACAAAAAGATGTGATGCGCTTAAGGGAGATGAGGAATCTTCCCAAGCCCTCCTGCGGCTGTGCAAGTTGGAGGCACCCCCAGGTGCAGTAGGTAGGAGGGGAAGGGAGGCTTTGCCATGCCCCTGAGCCAGGAAAGTGCAAAGAAGTGGGTGGGAGAATCTGCCAACACCTAAGGCTGGGTGATGGTGCCCTGACTGTGCCCGTGCGAGGCTGGCATGAGTTCAGTGAGAAGATTACATCAAAGATCTCTGGGGCTTTGTTGGATTTGGCTAGCTTAAAATTGAGCGGTGAATGGCTCTGGGCTTTTTGGTGAGAGCAGCCCAGGAGCATGGTTTCTTGGTAAATGTTTCTTTTGTGGTTAACAGACTGCAAGACTCATCAAGGTTGGTGTGACATGGTGACTAACGTTAAGAGTGTCATTGTCATTCTTCTCTGGGAATCTTGAGGCCTGACTGCACTGTAGGACCATTCAGTCATGCCTTCCTAACCTCAAGAAAAAGAAGGAGAGGGAAAGAAGGAAGATGGGGGGGCGGGTGTGTGGAAATCATCTCTTCCTTCTATAAAGATACGTTTTCTGTGCAGACAGTCTCAAATTCTTTGCCTTGTTAACTGCCTCTGACTGCTTTAATCTCTGCCGAAGAAAGAAAGGGGGAACTATATTAAGAGGGCAAACTCCCCCTACCCCCACTGGCTTAGGGAGGGTTACTGAGTTCTTGGTATTAAGTCAAGTGTTGTGGGAAATGCGGAGAAATGTTTGACCTTTTCTTGCGCGCCACGAACTCCCAAGCTACTTCTTAATGCACGTAGGTTGTATTTGATGAGGAAGAATATCTGTTTTCTGGAAATCTAATACGGCAGGTGGGTTGGAATAGAGTTTACAGGTTTAGATTCAATTAACATTTGCAGGGTGCCTATCTGCTCTACACCGGGCATTGGTGCTGCTGCTGCTGCTTATCGTGAGGAAAAAACCTCACTCTCTCCTCCCACAGAAAGAGCCTGAGACCAGAGAGGAATGACTTATGCATGGTCATAGGGTAGATGGTGGAGCTAGGTCACCTGAGACTTGCTTGTTCTAAAAGGAGTTCTGGGTTCTTCAGTTGTGTGACCCCCGCAGTGGAGGAGGACCACGCATCCTTAGCACACTGCCCCTTGGGATGGGGCAGGAAGAGGAAAAAGAATACACAAGATGATCTAACACGTTTAAACCAGGACAAGCAAGCTGAAATTAGCCTCTACTCTTGTGAACACTAGTGTCTCATCCCTTCAGGTCTAAGTTACAATGTCACTTTATATCAGGGAGGACAAGTTCATAGTCCTCGGGCAGCCTGTCAATCTTCGGTTTCACAGGCGCATACTGAAACAAGTACAAAGAACTGTGTGTCATTGAATCTGTCAGTATGCCCTTTGGAGACAGAAAGGGACAGTACTCTGTTGAGACACATGAGGGCGCCCGAACCAACCAGCAAGGAGATGTGCCTTTTACATTAAAAAAAAAAAAAGTGTGAATCCTGGCTAAGTTAGATTGACCATTGATTGTTTCAGTCATCAGGATGCTTTTTTTAAGGGGATGCCTTATATTTGTGGTCTCGGTCACACACCTGTGACTTAGCCAGTGAGCTTGCAGACGACTGGCAGGGTTCTACATATTTTAGGAATTCTGTGATAAAACCATTCTGTTTACCATCCTATTATTACCTAGCAGAGAACTATCAAGGGGTTGTAGGCTTATTAACTATTAACTACTTTGCCCTAGTGCTAAGCGGAGGATCTATTTACTAACTATTCTGTTTATTAACTAGTTAGGGTTTATTAACTACTTTATTTATTAACTAGTCTGCCCCAGTGCTAAGGGGGAGGCTCACATCCCTA